CATGCTCATCACTCCTATACTGGACATCTCTTTGTCCCACCCCTCCTCTTGACTTTCCAAGTAATATCACAACCTAATTAATGCTGACAAGGTCCTTTAGAGGTCACCTTGTCCAACACAATGTTCAAAGCTTGTCAAGTTAGAGCAGGCTGTTCAGGGCCAATCGAGTTTTGAGTATCTATCTCCAGGATTTCCCAATCTCTCTGGCCAACCTGGGCCAGTGTTAGACCCCTCTTACGGTGAAAATATTTTTCCTGAAGTCTAATCAGATGGTCTTTTGTTGCAACTTGGGTTCACTGGCTTGCATCCCATTGCTGTGCATCTCTGAGAAAAGTTTCCCATTGGGTAACTGTAGACCACAGTAAAGTTTCCCCTGCACCTTCTCTTCTTTAGATTGAACAAACCCATTCTGTCAGCCTCTCCTTGTATGCTATGTGCTCCAACCCCCAACCATCTTGATGGCCTTCTGTGGGACTCACTTCAGTGTGTCAGTGTCTGTGCTGGAGAGCCCAAATGTAGACACAGTCTTTCAGATGCAGTTTCACAGTGCCAAGCAGGTAAGAATAACTGATTCTGTGGACTTGCTGGCTATACCCTTGCTAATAAAGCCCAGGATGCAACTGGCCTTCATTGTGAGGGCACACTGCTCACTCGTGTCCAACATGTTGCCTACCAGGAAGCCCATATCCTTTGCCACAGAGCTGCTTTCCATTCAGTCAGGCCCACAATGGAGTTTCTCCAGGATGTTGAAATCCCTTTTAACAGCATCCTGTCAGCATATCAGTCTTAGTCGTCAAAAACGTAAGGTATTTTCCCCTCTTACTTCAACTTGGCTGTTCCCACAAAGCATTCAGCAAGAAAGGACATTTGCCAGAAAATGTGTGAAGCTAGTACATTACAGGCTGAGATATAAAAGTGCATCACAGCACCACTGTTCAATTGAATATTCATAGAAATAGCTGAGGCATTGTCATTGTACACAAAAAAAGAACAGCCAGTAAACAAGTTTTTCACCAAATAAGCATTAGTCCTACTAGTGCAATTCATCTCAGCGCCTGTCGGTATTATTACCCGATGCTTTTTCAGGAAGTGTTGAGTAGCTACTAACACCTGGATTTACATTTGCAAAATAATACTGCATATTGTCACAACTTGTAAGGTACTATAGGTATTACGTGCATGGGCTGGATTCTGGACATATTAATACATGTGTTAGCATAGCCAATAACAATATAGCCATTTACTCAACCCAATGTCAGGCCCTATAAAGTTATTCAGGTGTAACTTTTACTATTGCTTTCCAATGACAGAAAGTTTGGAACAGAATATAAAGACAAACCAAATTAGAAGGAATTTCAGAAGCCAGAAACAGACCTTCTCCCACTTTGTTTTTACAAACATATTTTTCTAATGTCTAAGATGACCCATACAAATGTCCAGAGAACAAAAATGAGGACAGATAACTAGGTAAATTGTAAACCTAAAAAATCATCAGAGGTTTTGCTGAAGACTTCAACAGGATGAGGGATTTCTTAGGTTTTTGCCTGGGATAAACTTCAGCTAGACAGATTCATAAATTCCCACACTGAGCTCCAAGGATTTGGAAGGCACCACAATATGGAGGCAGTACATACCAACAGGTCCAGAAGAAGATCTGAGAATCTGACCACACATCTTCAGATAAAAAATTAGATTTAATTAAGCATATGCAGTGCATTGAAAGAAACTAATTTAAGAGCAATACATATTTGGTTTTAGTTGGTAGATTCCCTTTATGAGCTGCTGCTTGTAGCAAAGTACCACTAAATGCCACTTTAAGCAAAAACCTGCTTGGCCTTAGCAGCAGTGTTAATCCACAACTCACTAAGAGGAAAAAGAAGACATCTGAAATTACATTTCTTTCTTTTGATCTACCTCTGAATTAAGTACTTCAGTATATGCTCAGTAAAACCTTGGAGAGAAAAATTACTACTTCTGCCTCTCATTTTATTTGTGCAGTGGTTTCCCACAAGTCCCAGGGGCCCCAAAGATCTTTAAAGTTCAGACTTAGTGTCTGAATATATAAACATTGATACCAGCTGAAATCAGTAAGATTTATCACTAAGAGAAACATGTCTGATTGACTCAGATCCAAGTCTTAGGCCGAGGGCCAGGAGGTGTCAGAGATGCCAGCTGAGACTCAGTCCAAAGTTTTCAGATAGAGGTGGATATACACAAGCAGAGTCTCTTGCAAGTCACTCTGGACTTCTTACAAGCTAATGAATAAACTTGTGCTTAAGTATTACCTTGAACTGGAGCTCTTCCTCCGCTCCAAGGATAACTGATAACTGAAGAAGGCTGAAACACATCCCCTGCTTCTAGCACTTACAGAAGACCTCAGAAAAGGCTGGATTCATGGCCAGGGAATGGATGGAGCATCCCAGAGAGCCACAAATAAGCACTTTGCCTAGCAGCAAGTGCTTGCACGTTAAGCTTTTCTCATTTTTAAAATTCACAGGTTTCAGTGTTTCCCACAGCAACTCTCCTCTGAGTGTCAAATATACTATAAGACCCAAAGAGCTAACTTGTCTTTAGTTTTGTACTTCTCTGTCACCCTAACAAATTAATCAAAATAAGTGGAAAAAACTGCTCTCTGCCTGGTCTAACACACAGGAAACAGTAAAACAAAATCACAACTCCCCAAAAAGAACAGCTTACAAAAAATTAGACCATAAACACCATTACTGTTTCCAGACTAACGGCACTGAGCTAAACTATCAGCACGGACCCATACTATCCCCCTTGTTCAGCTCAAGCTTTTACCAGTTTCATGGGTGAATTAAAAGAGCAGTATTGATCCATAGAGGCTGTCCTCTTCAGTGCAAACATTACACTGGACAGGGAGACACACAGATTTTCTTAGCTTAAGAACAACATACAGGGCAGAATCCTTTTCAGCAGCTTATTCAGGGACAAGGTGTCTGCCACTAAAATGTCATGCTGAAAACACTGTTTAATGCTTGTCACTAGGTAGGGCTAAAACATAGAGGACTGATCTAAATCTGTGCTGAAGTAATGAGTAAGTTATTTTCAAAATCAAAACCTATGGCTCTACTTGTTCTTTTTTCAACTGGCAATAAAGAGAGTTCATAAAATTACAAAGCAGCTTCAGAATCATAATCCAGTTAAATCACCAATTACAATGATTCAGGTAACTGTAGAATTTTAATTTAAAAAAAAAAAAAAAAGATTAAAAAATATAATAAAACCTTCAATAAAAGGAGTCTTCTTTGGGACATATCCAATCCTCCACTGCCCACCTTTTAAACATACCGATTGACAATAATTTTACACTAAAGTAATATCGTGGATTTATCATTGCATCTCAAAAATTATAAGGTCGATTCTTCTCTCACTAAAGTCAAGAGTGAGAATCCCTTTGCCCTCTGCAATATACTCTCCCCTGGTATCAGGAAGGTTTCTGAGCTGAAGCCTTCCCAGCAGTTAACACCGCTGGAAGCAGCATCAGCTCAAGGAGAGGAGGCAGAAGAGAAGCAAGGAGCAGAGCTATCAGAAATGCTTCCAAATTTTATCAAACTACCCAGGCTGTGTCTTAACTCCTCCATGCAAATCAGAGCTGTCACAGATTTTTCCTGAGTTGGTTATCTGCCTCCCACAGGTAACCTGCCTGTAGTTACATGAACAGCAGCAATCAATTTGTTATGCTCAGAGAAAAAGAACAAAAAACAGAGAAATATGAAATGCCTTCTATATGGAGCAGCAAATTGCTAATATGAAGTTTTACAAGACTAATTAATACAAAACAGTTTTTATCCATAAATCTCACAGCACTATATTAACTTAAAAGCCTTGAGCTCCATGCTTTGGAAGCCGAACCTGAGACTTGAGAAGTGACCTGTTCAACATCACATAGCAGGTCAACATGTTCTACTTCAAGTCCATAAAGTCTCTGTCTTTGCTTTGCTTTTAGTGAAAACCAAAAAAGACAAGCTGAGCCCTGAGCCTGTCATTAGAGTAACACTGGTCTAGAATGATTAAACACATGAAAGAATTAACCAGCTTTTAAGATATCAGTTGGCATTTAAATTGCTTGTAGAATTTGATGAACAAAGAACAAAAATGTACAAATGATGAATAAAAATAGGGGAAGCAGAATTCTCTCTGTCTCAGATGATAAAGAACTTCTCCTCCTTAAACCAGCCACACTCCCTTTTGTCCATGTGGACTTTGTTGATTTTTACTGGCAGGCTAGTAAGACCAAAGCACTTCCAAAAATTGGAAAAAAATAAAAGTTCATTTATTAGCCTTTACCCCAAGACAATCCTGTTCAGAGCAGACACGGCTCCAGCAGAATAGGTACACCTCCAGAGCACCCATACCTTGCCAGCACAGCCCCTTGCAGGGTAAGAGGTGAAAAGTGCATTTCTTGCTGCTGCTGGCAGAGGTAAGGGTGGTGTGATGCTGCCTGACTGCCACTGCACGTGGATCAATTCTGCTGGATCAAAATCAGGCAGCTCCCCCAGACAAAGTTCAACCTAAGACAGAAAACTACCTGGAAGAGATGACAGACACTGAGCAGCTGAAGTCAGGCTGATGTCTGCAGCCAGGGCATGTGGCTGCTCTGAACGGAAGGGAGTCCAAAGGGCTGACACGTAACAGCTTCCTCTCATGCCCCTCCCAGCAAATTCCTCAGCAGCTATGACAGCTGGTAAATCAAGATCTCTCACCTCAGTCCCCACTCACCTGCCAGGGATGGCAAGGCAAACTGGGTAAGGCACTTTGGTGTGAAGAGTGAGAAGATGAGCCGGAGAGCTTGCAGATAAAGGGATGGAGAATGGAAAATCGTGCTAAGACCAAGGATATTAGGAGTACCTAGCAGACAGATATCAGTAAGGGAAACGATTTAGAGAGGCCAAAATCAGTGAAGCCTTCTACAATCCTTTATATCAACATTACAAACACTTCAACCACAGAGATCATCATGCTCACTGCAGACTTACCTGCATGAATAGTGCACAACATTCAAGGTCTCAGGCTTTACCTGTAACACAGCAAATGGTCCTAATTCAGAGTAAAATAAGCTCCAGAACAAGAACAGTGACCACAATGGGACCTTCTAACATAAGTGATAAAGCTCATCTTTCCAGAAGACAAATCTCTCTCGAAAATAAGATCATGACTGTGGAATGAGCTCCCTCAGAAACTAAGGACCAATACGGTAAACACCACCTTCATCTCCAAGTAAGATAAATGTTTTAGAAGTCATCTCTTCTGGGGTAGAATGAAAACCAAAACAAAATAAAATCATTACAAGCACCTGTCACATACAGAAATCCCTTCTAAGAAAAAATGAGCACGTTATCCACAAATGACAGATGACAGCAGTTTTAACAAACTACTGTTAGGACTTAAGATACATTATGAATGATGGTAAGACAAGACAGAATAGAACATATTCAAATAAAATGGAAAGTAGACTATAAAGGGAAGAAGCATGAGCAAAATATAGAAAAAAAAATAAAATAGGACAGGAAATGGGATATAAAAAAGAATAAATGGTAAAGAATGGAGAAGGATACTGGGGTTACACCTTGGAGCAGATGATCACCTGACATTAACTGATGCAGAACCATTGACTGGAATGGGTCAAGGATGGTTTCTATCAGCTAAGGATTTGGCCCCCCTCCACAGAAGCAGATGAGTGCAATCGGAGAGCACCCTGACTGATTTTCAGGGCAGGGGGGAGGGCTAGGGGGGTACGGTATCTGCTCTCAGTAAGTAAAGAGGGAACACAGGAAGAAAATAAGATGATCCTACAAATTAAAAGGCAGAAAGAGGCTGAATAGACAAAAATGGATAAAGAGCAAGAAATAAGAACAAAGAGAAGGGGCAAATAGAAGATAGGAAGAAAATATCCACAGGTTAGAGGAATATATTTTATTTATTCATGAGCTCTGTTTTATTATGTGTCCTTGGCAGAAGTCCCATAACTGAAAATTTGCAAGGCAGGGAATGATGCAAGTTTAGAGACTTGACCCTTGTTTCTAGTCATTAGCCTTGGGCTGGTCTTTTTAATATACATGCCACAGCAGCAAGTAAACAAGTTCTTTAAATCAAGAGCCTTTAGACAGGAGGCATGATGCAAACAAATGAGCTTAGCTAGAGAGAGATTCCAGGAGAAAAAACAATAAGCAAGCACAGCCACAACCTGTTTTCAAGTAACCAAGGAAGCATGGGCTGTTAGGAAAGATACTGCCCAACAGGATACAGTCTCCTTCTCACTCTGACCCTAGCACACATCAGACTCTGCAGAGCATCTGCCTTTCGCACACGCTCCTTGTTAACCAGCACTTATTTTACCTGAGAGCATGTGGGGCTCAGCTTCTTCAGCTGGCAGGGGGAAGGGATGCGAGCAGCAGGCAGCCCCGGGAGCGGTGGCCCTGGTCTCTGGCAGCGATCCCAGCACAGAGGCAAGCGATGTGCCGGATGCCAGCTTCGCTGGCGGCTCAGCCAGAACAAAGAGCACACCTCTGGCAGATGCACCAACTCTGAGCGGGGAAAGCCCAGCTGTCTCCACTCTCTAGAATGGTTTAAGGTGCCTCTGCAGCTCCGTTCAGTCACTGCTGAACCTAGTTTTGCATTGAGGTTGACTCTGGCCCATGGTCTTGGCACTGAGTATTACTAGTTGATTTTACCTTGCCCATCACTGTAATTGCACATCTAAGGTGATACTGGTGGCTTAACACTGATTTATCATCTACTCAGGTTTGAGGTGGTTTTTTTCTTCTCTACTGTCCTAGAGAGGGTGAACACAGAAATGCTTCTCCTTCAGGACCTCTTTGCTTCTACAAAGGACGTCTCAGGAAAACATCTGACCTCACCTGTCTCAGGAATAATGCTAGGGATCACACTGGAGTTTGCATCAGTTCAGCTGAAAAACACTTTTCATTGATTTTCTTTGCCCACACTCACAAATAGGAAGTTGAAGGGCTGCTACCATTTTTGTGGGTTGCCCAAGTGCTGAGACTGATAACAAGACATTGACATTTAGATATGGTGTTCAAGGAAGAAGGTCTCTTCAAATAGAGCTTTAATGTCCTCTGCTATGAATACATATAGATTTTTTCTTATTTTAAAAATCAATTTAAACACATTTGTTCAGCCTGTATGAAGAAGGTCTAACAGACAAGTAAAGAACTGTGACTTAGGAAATTTGAATAGTATTTCAGGACCTTTCCCATTCTTCAATTCCTGCAATTGAAAAAAATTGAAATAATGATACTGCACCTCTTTATAAAAAGGACTATTTTGAAATCTACAATCACCATATAAAAACTAGGTGTGATTACTGTCAGTTAAAGCTCTTTTGAGACCTACCCATAAACAAATCATTTACACAATTTCAGAACATAAAATCATCTTTGTCTACGCACAGTGCTATCTCAGCAGAAGTTTAGATACAGAAATTAAGAAGTTTTTTCCTTATTAGCCAATTGTCTTCCACTCCCCCAAGTACTACCTTTTTGAGCAGTGAAATCTAGAAAAGTAGGAGGCAATGAGGAGAGGCTACAGTTCTCTATAAAAAAACCCTCCATTCTCATCACAAGTGATTACTGGTTTCAACACTGCTGCAATGGGCAGCTTCCCCCCAGCAGTAGATACTAAACACACCTCACAAAATTGAAAAGCCAACTCTGCTTCCTAGTAAGCTTAGGATACCAACACTGATCAAATCCTACTAAAACTGTAGATGATTTAACCCTAACTGCTTAGAACAGAGGAGGATTTTGGAAACTGCTACAGTTATGACTGAGGAAAATAAGAACGTGCGGCCCAGGATATGCCTCTGAAAATGAGACCTTCCCAAGGTATCTCAAGGTGGACACTCAGAATTTGACTCACACATACCCTCTGAAAATCCTGGCTCAGGTACTAATTGTGTTCTTGCCTCCACTGTCCTCTTAGGATGTTAGCCTGGGTACCTTATGCCATCTATTGGCCTAGACCAGCGATGGATGCTCTGAGGAGAACTTTAATTCTGGGAAAGCGACTGTATTAAAAGAGATCTGCTAGTAGATCTGTAAATTATGTTAATGAAATCAATACCCTGCCACTACTCAGATCTTGAGGTCTCCCTTCCCCAGCAGACACTGAGTTCAGCTTCCAGAGTAACCAGCAGTTGTGCTTTCAATTAGGCAAAAGAAAAATAGTATTGAGAAAGGGCTATCTCACCAGCAAGAAAATCCAGAAAATGAGCAGTGAGAATTTTTACTGCCTTACAGAAACACGTAAGAAAAGTCTTTTTATAACAAAATAAAGCTCCATCAAAATCTACCTGGATCTAAAATCAAGTAAACTATCCCCAAACTTAGTGAGTCTGCTTTAAGTCAATCACACAGAGAGAAGAGACTTCTCCCACATTTCTTTAGCCACAGAGGCTACTGTAGTGATTCACGGCTGCTTGAATCTAGTTTACTTTTAAATCTAAATGTGTTTTTAAAAGGCAAGGCAGAGCTCTGCAATGCGAAAGGGATTCAGAAACATCTCTATTGATCCGCTCTGGCACAAGCCATTAAAAAGCAGCCGCGGAGAAGTCTGCAGGAAAACCGCGGGCAGCCCTGGCAGCGCCTCGTGTCCCCCGCGGGGGGCAAAGCGGTCCCCGCCGCCCCCCCCCCCCCCCCCCCAAACCCCCATCCCCCCGCCCCCGAGTCGCCTCCTTTCGGGGGGTCGGCGAGGGGCTGCAAGTCCCGAGCCGGAGAGTTCAGCGCAAGACTTCGGCGGAGCAAGAAGTCCCCCAGCACCAGGCTACATCCCCCCCTTCCTCCTCCTCCCCCGGCTGTTTGCTCCGCAAAACGCAAGCGGCAACCATCGCACCTCCGGCGAGCCGTGCCGGGCTTCACGCCCTCCCCCCCCCCAGAGCCGCGAAGCCGCCGCCCCGCCGCGGGCCGGAGCGCGGCCGCGGAGCGGTGCGCAGCGGGCGGGCGGCGCTGCCTACCTGGAGCCGCGGAGCCACCGCGGGGCCGCCCCGCGCAGCCCAGGGTGGGAGGGGAAGGAAGGCGGCGGCGGGCGGGCTCAGGCGAGTCCCCACCCCGGCCCCGGGCACCCCCCGGTCCCCGCCCCGGCGCCCCGCTCCCGTCCCGGCGCCGCAACGGACCCGCGCTGGTCCCTCCGTCCCGGGGAGTCCCCGCTCCGCACCCGGGGGTCCCGCTCGCCCCCGGGGCGGCTGCTCTCGGTGCTTTCTAGAAGTCCTCCGCGCCCCCGGGGTGGGGGGGATCCTGCTCCGTGGCCCCGGGAGATCCCGCACCGCCCCCGGGGGGGTCCCTCTCCTCTCCCGGGGAGTTTCCGCACTTTGCTCGTCGTTGCCGCACCGCATCCGTGGCGTCTCACGCCTCACCCAGAGGGTCCCTCTCCGCCTCCGGGGTGGGGTGGGTCCCGCTCGGGGAATCCCTCACCCACCCGCACCCCGTCCCCGGAACACGCGTGGGTCCCTCCCGCAGCCACCTACCAGGCAGCCTCGCTCTCTCCCACGGCTCGGAGGAAGACGCGGGGAGAGGGGAAGCCCGTCTGGAGAGGGTGATGCTGCCAAGGCTGGGCAGGGGGGGGCAGGGGGGGCTGGCGGCAGCCCCCTCCGGCCCCTGGGCTGCGGCAGCGCGGCGGAGCAAGTTGTGCTCCTGCCGCGGGGCCCCGCGGACTGGGCTGCTCGGCTTTTACCTCCCCGCTTTTGTGCGGCAGCGGTGCCAAGTACCACGCAGATAATGACAACGCGAACGGGATTGATCAGCTCTGGCTTCAGTGCCGCTGATTTGCTGAAGTGGCAAATACACGGCGTTATTTGCCGGCTGTACAGCGTGAGATGGCGGGGTGTCCCCCCCCATGCTGCAGAGAGAAGGGATTTCTTCGTCTTTTGCTCCCAAGAAGTTGTCTGTGTCAGGGCTCATTTCTGCCTTAGTCAAAGGCAAAGGGTAACGGGAAGCCCGGGCAGCTCCGGGTGTAACTGCAAAGCACAGCCGCGCCAGCTTCCCAGAGTGGAACGTTTTGCCGATCCCACTGGTATCGTTTTAAAAATTGCCGATGAACGTGGAGGATTATTCCTTCGTTTCAAATTTTGACACAAAGTATTTTCTGCACTTTGGGCAAACTTTTCCAAACTTTTAATTAAAAAAAAAAAAAAAAAAAAAAAAAAAAAGGCTTCTAAACCATCAACATCTTCATAACCAACTGCAGGATTTGGAAAAAAAAAATAATAATAAAATCTGCTTAGTTACTATTTCTGCCATTTTTTTTTTTCCTATTCAATCTTACCTTGAAAAAAAAATCATGCACAAATGTTACAGAAAATTCTCCTCTGTTTTGGGGGGAGAGGGTGGGGTTGTTTGTGTTTTTTTTAGAATTCATTACATGTTTTAGGGAAAATAATTCAATGACCTCTTGTAAAGTTAACATAATTACTCACCATGCTGTTTGGTTCCTGATAATATTTTTGAAGTCTTAAAGTGTCCTCAGTTGTGAACACTGAGGAGAGTGGGAATCCTGAGATAATTTCTCTCTGATTGTGTTTACTGCTATCCCCTTAAGTTACTATTGCTATGTAGAAAGGGTTCTTTTTCTTACAAGTTATGCTGTATAATTGCACTAATAAATTCATTGTTTACCACTTTCTTGTTTCACTAATCATAGAAATTTTAATCACTGAAGAATGTGACTTGTCCAGATGTTACATCAACCCTTCAATGTTGTGCACAGAAATCTAGCAATCTACATTTCTGCTGTATGTTTCTTCGAAAAACATAATTAACCAGCAGTATATTAAGATCATACGTAAAGACCTGCATGGAATGACATTTAGTTACAGAAAGTTTGTGAGAAAGCAATGCACTGAGTGCAGAGTGAATTTCTCAGAACTATCCGAATACAAGAATGTGAACAGAATACTTCCTGAAGACAAATGAGGTCATCTTAGTGGGTCATTTAGAGATTTCAGCACAAAATTTGAAAGATCCTGCAGAAATATTGCTACTGACTTTGGAAATGGTACTGCAGCACAGCAACCCATCAGATGATTACACAACCTAAGTCATCACAGGAGAGAATGTGAGATGCTGGAAATTTCCCAGGAAGGTGAGGGGCAGCTCCCTGGGAAGCAAGGGTACATACATTTCTGTAACACCCGGTGAGATCTGTAGTGGCAAAGGGGGATGTGGTGGGCTCATTGCCCAGGTTGACACGCCTGGTGACACTGGTGACCCTGTCCTTAGCTACTGTTGTGGCCACGGGATATGTCCTGTGGTGCTGCTCTGCCTGGCTTGGGGGGCAGAAACGTGCTGTCTTGGCTCCTCACCAAACCTGTCAAGCAGCAACCTGCATTATCATAACTTACAGCTCCTTACATCAGCATGATCTTGCATTGCTCTTTCCTGGACAACAGACCCAGTCCCTTGGGGGCAGCACATTTAGAAATGCCAGTTCTGTCCTCCCAATATTCTGCTGACACAGACATCTTTTTTTATTATTATTATTATTTTTATTTTTCATCAAGAAATATCACAAGACTTAGGAATCGCATTTACTTTTGTATTTGATGCATCATGGTTTCTTTTCACATAAGCAGTGTCTGAGCACTGGGCTGTCCAAAGCAGCATCTTCCCTTACAAAGCAGTTTTTCATGTACTTCCACCAAAACACAGCAACTCCCCTGTGATCACATTTTTACACTGAGGGATGTCTAGAGGTTTTTGGCAGGTTTTTACATCTTCATTTGAAAACATGTCCTGGAATTTTCTTGACTCGTTTACGTGGAAAAGGAAAGAGGTCATTTCTAGCTTCCTGATGTAGGAAAACTTATTGGCAGCTGTTTATAGTGGGCATGAGCTGAGCTGCTGGCAGTGGGGAAAGAGATGAAGGGAAATCTAGGCTATAACACCATCATCTTCACTGCACCGCATTGGTTTATTATATTGCAAAATGGTGTTAATTTTTGCTCACTGGCTTAAAAGGATCGTGAGATGAAGACTGTTAAGGAAAGTGGCATATATAAGGCTGGATCCCAGTGTCTTGTTCCCTAGCCAAAGTTCAACCAGAAATATTTGTATTCTGGAGCAAATCATTACAAAGTGTCCAGACTAGTTTTTACAAATATTAACTCCTTCAAAGCTTCTGGTAATAGGTTAACTCAAGACAAAACTGTTGTTTTAAGTCCCTCTTAAGATGAGAAAGTTTTCACCAGCGGATTGAATGGAGTGAAAAGTTTGCACTAGTGAACATATGGCTACACCAGAAGGGATTGTGGCCCCCCATAAAACAGCTTACATCCTTTTTATGGCTCTCTAAAGCATGCAGTGAGCCTATCCAAAGTCAAGCTGCCACTGGCTAACCTAAACTGGAAGAAACAATGCCCTGAACACTGTTGTGTATGAGTTTGTTGTGTTTGTGTAATGCTGCTATCCCTAGGGGCTGGCCATTTCCCCCCCTATTTGTTTTCTTCCCTGAATTGCCTTCATTCAACCAAATTCTGTCAGCACTTACACCAGGGAGACCCTATTAAAGGCAAATGGACTCGATGTTCTTCCTCCACAAATGCTCATAATTTATACTACACAGATGTGGGACAAAGTGGGAGTAACTCTGCCTTAGGTACTTTCTTGGGGAGAAAAGTGGAGGGAAAAAAAAAAAAAAAATCAATTAGAATGGCAATTCTTCTGTCAGTGAGAGTAGAATCTGATCTGCTCTGCCTGCTGCAATCCAACCCACTCCAGCCCACTGGAGGGCAAATGGGACAGGGACTTCAACGCCACTTCCAGTCCCTGCAGCACTTGCTGATGTACATCCACGGCCACCAGCGAGCACAGGGAGGTGTCACTTGCCACACAACAACCCATACGAATCACAGCTTTTCACTCTCCCATTCACTTACATGTTTCTCAGGGCAGGACTCCGTTTCATTTGTGCCCTGGCTGGATGCGAATTGCCTCACTCAATTGAGTTTTACATGGGGTTTGTGCTACATCCACAGAGGCTCAGTTCTCCCTCATACAAATCACAGGAACTACTGTTATAATATTATGTTTTTACATTGTCACGAGTGAGAGGTAGATTTAGAAACAGTGCACTCCTGTACTTTGGTGTTCCCAATCTGGGGGCTGTCTATGCTCATTTGATTTAATAAAACCAGTGGGAATTTACAACTTCTGTTGTTTAGTTCAGGAGGACAAACTTTGTAAGTTATAGGGTCCCTCCTTAATTACCATTAGAAAATAACTTCATACAATGCAACATGGCACTTCCATTTCACTGAATAGTGTATTTCTAATGATAACAAATTATTACCAAGAGAGTTTTAAAGGGTTTGTGAGACAGTAGGATCCAGTAATTGGAGGAAACATTACAACATGGAGCAGAATTTGGACTCCAGAGTTTTTTACTGTTTTTTTAATGCTGAGTTTAGTAGCAAAGTATGAGTACTCAGAAAATAATACTGCTAGCATTTGAATTTAAAAGAACATGTAAATGTTTCTAGGAATACGTGAACCATACCAGATCTTCAATTAAGCAGAAAGTTTATCAGTGTCAGCTACTCTTTGGTTACTGGGCTATTGACACATTTCTTAGGAAGGAAGTCAAATGCACACGGGCATTAAGCATATTTCATTTCTGTAAAGTATGTTTTCCATTTATTCTGAAAACATATTAATATATAAACTTGTTTAATAGAAGGTGACAGACAGTAGGTTACTGAATCACTATTCACTGAGGAAGATATGAAATTCCTGGTACCTTTCCTAACTCAAAGTAATCTGAAATTACAATGTGACCTGTAGCAGAATAGGTCTAAAGTAGGGCCTTGGAAGCACAATATATAAATGATAACTCATGTGGAAATGCTGAATGCAGCAGCTATCATTACACAGGCTACTAATACAGCAATTACACATTGGATATATAATCTGTTTTGCCTGTCACTTCTGAATTCTTGCTTACTAGAAATACACTGGGCTTTACAGTGCTACGCCTTTAAAAAAAATA